AGATCCCACTGCTGGTCGTCACGAACAATCTTTCGGAGAATATCCCCGAGGGTCCTGTTYGTGATCTCGGTCTGACCATCAGTCTGAGGATGGTAAGACGAGGAGAAGCGGAGCTGAGTGCCGTACACCTCGTGGAGCCGTCGCCAGAATCGGCTGGTAAAGCGCGGATCACGGTCAGATATGATGCTCAGAGGTAAGTCGTGGTCACGCACGACTCGGTCAAATACGATGTCGGCGACCTCACGTGCACTGATGGCATAGCGGCACGGAACAAAGCATGCACGCTTTGTGAAGCAATCGACGACGACCAGGATAGCATCATGACCGCGAGGGGTCGGAGGTCGAAGAGGACCGATAAAGTCCATCGAGATGGACTGCCAACGACCCTCAGGGATAGGAAGAGGCTGGAGCAAACCATAAGGTAGGTGGTTCGCACTGTTCACCTCCTGACAGGTGGGACACTGCGACGTAGTCCTTCACAAAGTCCTTGCGCTTCGGCCAGACGTACAGGCGGCTCACACGAGCCAACGTCTTGTGGAAGCCCATATGACCGGCAACTGCCTGGTCATGGAACTCTACTACTGCTCGGACACGTAGCTGTCCAATGGAGGGAACACAAATACGGGGCTCTCTTGTGCCCTGTGAACTGTGTCAGTACACAAGACCGTTGTCCCCGAGAGAGTAGTTCGGGACAGTCTTGCCACTCCGAAGGGTCGCGTGGATGTCGCGATAGTCGGGGAAGTGGCGGTACTGAGTGCGAAACTCGTCGATCACCGAGTGGTGGACGGTGCTGACCGAGATGGAAGAGAGCTGGATGTGCTCCTGGTCGTGGTCAGGGCGCCGGGATAGGGCATCGGCGACCCGATTAGTCTCACCCTTGATGTGCTCAATGGTGAAACTAAACTCGGATAGGTCGCGTCACCAGCGAGCCTGTCGAGGAGTGAGCTTCGACTTTGTCAGAAAAGCCTGGACAACAGAGTTGTCTGTGCGCACCGTGAATGGTGCCCCGTGCAGATAGTGACGCCAGTGCCGAGCAGCATAAACTACTGCGAGAACCTCACGTTCATCAGCAGTGTAGTTTATCTCGGCGGGCAGGAGATGACGGGAGTAGAAGGCTATCGGACAATCACCTGAGCAAGAGTCGACAGTGCCGTCCTCGGCGATGGTAGGAGAATAGTCAATAGAAGGCTCGTCAGTAGCTTGACGAGTAGGCGTCAGTTGGGAAGCAGTGGTAGGGGTAGGTGGTTGGAAGCGAGGGATACGAGGATTAGAGGAATCAGGAGATGAGGGGAAGACCTGAGAAAGCACTGCTCCTACAGCGAAGTCTGACGCATCGGTGGTAAGGATAAAAGGGCGGTCAAAATCGGGTAGGTGAAGAACTGGTGTGCATGTCACCGCCTTCTTGAGGGCGCGGAAGGCGTCCTCGTGGAGGGGTGTCCAAGCCCAGGGTGGGTTCTTCCAGAGGAGGGTGGAGGTAAGGACGTAGGAATACCTAGCGTATCCCAGGATGAAGTTAGTATAGTAGCTGGTCAGGCCTAGGAAGCTGCGAAGCTGCTTGGCGGATGTGGGAGCGTGCCACTCCGCAATAGCAGTGATCTTCGCGTCGTCCATGTGGAGACCCTGGTCAGACACGTAGTGTCCTAAGAAATCCACTTTATGCTGGGCAAAGCGACACTTGCTTAGCTCGGCGTAGAAGCCATGTCTGCTCAAGCGGTCAAGGACGTCGCGGAGGTGTCTCAGGTGCTCCTCAAGGGTACGACTGTAGACCAGGATATCGTCGAGGTAGACGAGAACGTACTGCTCCAGGATGTCCCTGAAGATGTTGTTCATCGCCCTCCGGAAGGTAGCGGGTGCGTTGGTGAGGTCGAATGGCATCACCGTGAACTCGTAGTGGCCGAATCGCGATCGGAACGCGGTCTTCGGCTGGTCGGCTGCAGCGACGTGAATCTGATGGTAACCGCTACGAAGATCAATCTTCGTAAGGAAGCGGTTGCCTGCTAGGCGGTCGAACAGCTCATCGGAACGAGGCATGGGGTAGCTGTTCTTAACCGTGTAGCGGTTGAGGCCGCGGTAGTCGATGCAGAGACGAAGAGTTTCATCCGCTTTGCGAGCAAAGAGGACGGGTGCACCCCACGGGTAGTTGCTGGGTTTAATGAAACCCAGTCTCAGAAGCTCCTCAAGCTGACGCTTGAGTTCAGTGGCCTCGGGGATCGAGAGTCTGTAGGGTGCCTGGTGGTGAACACGATAGTCAGGCACGAGCTGAATGAAGTGCTCGACGTCACGCATCGGTGGGATGTCGGCGTATGAGAACGACGATGGGAAAACGTCGTGGTACTCTCGGATGAGGTCACGAACTGCGGGCTCCAAGTCATTTGTATATCGTGCGAGTTCCTCAGCGTCAGCGTCAGCGAGCGACGGCGGGGTGGACTCGACGGACGGCGGAGGGACGAAAGTAGAGATGAGAGCCATGGAGATAGAGGGAGGATCTGGCTCCAGAGGGATGAGCTCGGCGTCGGGACAGGGTGGATCATAGTGTAAGAGATCCGTCACGTCCACCATAAAGAAGGTGACGTCGTCCTGTCGAATGAAGTGAGTGAACTGCCGAGGCGAGGTGACAGTGAGAGAGGGAGATGGTGTGGGCACTGAAGGCTCCGGGGGAGGAGGATCGGGGCGTGGTGTCGCCGTGGTACCTATGAAAGGTACGCGATACGTCTGTCCACACTTCGTTTTGAGAACGAGAGTGTTGGTCGCCCAATCGGCCTCGGTGTTGCGGAACCGACGAGACCACGGAGTGCCGAGAATGAAGTCGTACCCCGTCTCCATCACATCGAAATGTGCAGAGGAGCGGAGGCGACCAGACGCCGGGGAACGCTCAGTCGGCTCGAGAGTGAGGAAGAAGGGGAGGTCGATGACTGTCTGATCGAAGAAGCGCTGGGTCTTGTCATCCCCTAGGGTAACAGAGATGGGAGTCGGAGACCCTGTCGTGGGTAAGCGGGCTTCCTTCACCACGCGTGGGTGAATGAAGTCGCCCTGAGAACCGGAATCCCACAGCGCTGAGTACACCCTCGTGGAGGTCCCGAGTCGTACGGGGATGATCGGGAGGGTGCGATCAGGGTCAGAGAGGATGGCGAGAAGGCGACGCAGTGCAGCGACATGGAGGGTGAGTCGCTCCTGACGAGCCTGGAGCATGCTCAAGTCCAGAAGAGAGGACACAACGTCCTCGCGAGTAGCAAGCTGCTCGCTGCAACGGGATGAGCGAATGGCTCGACGCGTCGGTAGTCGCGGCGGGGGAGGAGGCGAGACGGTGGTCTGCGGAGGCGCGGATGGCACTGCGACAGAGGGCTGAGTACACTCTGTCGAGTCCTGCGATACCTCAACTCCAGTAGCGAGAGAGGCGAACCGCGACGGAGATGTCGGAAAGCCCACTACTGAGGAAGGCGCAGGTGTACACTGCACCGTGGCTAGGAGGCGCCGCGGGGACGTGAGGCGCTGGGGGGGGACTGAGCACGACGCTGACGAGAAAGGTCAGCATAGTGGCGGTCGAGGGTGGAAGTGTAAGGGCACCGCGAGGAGGTATGACCGTCCAAGCGGCAGCGCAAACACCCACGCCGGCCCAGAATAGTCGCGCGCTCCCCAGGGGAAAGGACACCACGAGGAGGGACGAAGCCCTGAGGGAGGTCCTCCTGAGGGACCTCGGGGAGCGATGCGCCAGCGTGACCGGGGCGGCTGCGTGCCCGAGAGAGGGCAGAGAGCGCGAGCTGAAGGCKCYCARCTGCAGGGAGGGTAGAGTCCTCCAAGTGATAGTGGACGGCCTCGCAGAGATCGAGGTCGTCGCTGTGGTCGCCCTCAGATGACAGTGGGGCAACAACGTCCTGCTCACCATACTCCAGCGCGCTGAAGCGGCGCGAGAAGTGGCGGCCCT